AGGCCGATCAAAGAATCGTCCTGGCCGATTTCCAAAAATATAGAATACTTAAATTGATCATGGCGGCAAACTCTTTCTGTATTGAGCATATCGTCATGGCCGATACAGGTATCGTCCAAGCCGATCAGTTAATTACGGCTACCTTAACTAAGAAATCATGATTAGATCTTTTGTTTTGAACTCGATCGTCCAGATATAAATATTATCCGAGACGATGTGAGTAAAAACTCAAGTTCTAAATCTCTCAAGTGTGTGTGTAGGGTTACTTTATATCAGTCACTTCAAACAATTACAATTGACTCAAGAAAGAAAAAAAAAGAAAAATACAGACTGATTCAACCCTAATCTTTCCAATCTTGAGCTGGTTCTGATTTCCGTCCGATCTTTGATTCCTGAAATGTCAGTAGTAACAGGCAGTTGAAGAAAAGTAAGAGTGTTTGCCAATCATCAAAACATAGTCCATGAAACTGAATTTGCAACAAAAAGCAAAAGAAAATAACTAAAAGATCAAGTTTCATGCATTTATGTCAATCACACCCAATCTGGTCCTTAAAGAGCTGAAAGTGTCGAAGGCCAGTGGTTTAGTAAAGATGTCAGACAGTTGATTTTCAGTTGTTACATGGTGTAACTTAATATCTTCTTTAGTCACATAGTCTCTAATGAAGTGATGCCTAATGTCAATGTGCTTAGTCCTTGAATGTTGGATAAGATTTTTAGAGATGCATATGACACAAGTGTTGTCAGAAAAAATTGAGATGGTGCCTACAGGTAATCCTAAATCTAATACCTGTTGTTTCAACCAAAGGACTTGGGCCACACAACTTCCAAGAGCAATGTACTCAGCTTCAGCAGTGGAGAGTGCAACATAATTTTGCTTCATACTAGACCATGAGACCAACATAATTATCCTATGAATTGACAAGTTCCTGAAGTGTTTTTTCTATCCACCTTGCATCCTGCAAAATAAGAGTCAGAAAAGCCAATAATCTTAAAAAAAGTGCTGTGTCTAGGATACCAAATCCCTAAGCTTTGGGTCCCCAAAAGGTATCTAAAAATTCTCTTAACTGAAGTGCTTCTTCATACTAGACCATGAGACCAAAGATTATCTTATGAATTGACAAGTTCCTAAAGTGCTTTTTCTATCCACCTTGCATCCTGCAAAATAAGAGTCAGAAAAGCCAATAATCTTAAAAAAAGTGATATGTCTAGGATACCAAATCCCTAAGCTTTGGGTCCCCAAAAGGTATCTAAAAATTCTCTTAACTGCAGTCAAGTGGGATTCCTTAGGGTCAGCTTGAAATCTAGCACAAAGGCAAACACTAGACATTATATCAGGTCGGCTCGTAGTTAGGTAAAGTAAAGATCCAATCATGCCTCTATACTTCTTTTGATCAACAGACTTACCACTTGGGTCCTTATCCAATGGAACACTAGAAGTCGTGGGAGTATTAATTAGCTTAGATTTATCCATCTCATACTTCTTCAAAATATCATTTATGTATTTTATTTGATTAAGAAAGGTTCCATCATCCAATTGTTTTATTCTAAACCCCAAAAAGTAGGACAACTCTCCCATCAAACTCATCTCAAATTTTCTACTCATTATTTTAGAGAACTCGTCACAAAGTTTATTATTAGAAGATCCAAAAAGTATGTCATCTACATAAATCTGACAATGAGCAAATCATCTCCAATTTTCTTAAGAAAAAGGGTGGTGTCTACGCTCCCCTTAACAATCTCCCTTTCTTGTAAGAATGTGCTAAGCTTCTCATACCAAGCTCTTGGTGCATGCTTTAAACTATACAAAGCCTTTTTTAATTTAAAAACATAATTTGAAAATTGAGAACTCTCAAAACCTGGGGGTTGTTCTACAAACACATCCTCTTTTATTTTTCCATTTAAAAAGACACTCTTAACATCCATTTGAAAAAGCTTAAATCCTTTATAACAGAAAAATGCTAATAACACTCTAATGACTTACAATCTAGCTACAGGTGCAAAAATTTCCTCAAAGTCTATCCCTTCTATTTGGTTATACCCCTTAGCCACTAATCTTGCTTTATTCCTAACCACCACTCCAAAATCATTTACCTTGTTCTTAAAGACCCACTTTGTTCCAACTACACTTTGTCCCTTTGGTCTTTCTACAAGCTCCCAAACATCATTCATAACAAATTGATTCAACTCATCTTGCATGGCTAAAATCCAAGAAGAAAAATAAAATGAATGAGTTTTCAATCACATAGTGATTCTTTGCCATGTTTTCATTCAATGCATGATATCTAACACACATTAGCTAGCAATTATCTTTCATCAGCACTATCACAATCTAATATCTACAGGTTGAAATGCTATGCTTGAGAACTTCATAAAAAATGATCTCTTATTACATAAATCTTTATGGAGGTGATCATCTTTGTCCTTCAAAAATATCATGGTAGTTTTCTACAAATGCAAGTCTCACTTAAACATATTTTTCTCTTATCCATTTTATCCCTTGTTGGATTCTCCTTGGTATTAAGTCTTCATTCTTGTTAAGCATCTCTTATTCGATCATCAACAAGATAAATAGTGCTGCAAACAATCTGAACCGAGTCAAGTATGTGAGTGTTCATATTTGAATTCATTTATTATTAGCTTGTTCAAGTTTGGTTCGTGTTTGATTCGAGCTTTATTGTTTGTGTTCATGTTTGGTTTGTTTAAATTAATGGTGTTCATATTTGGTTCATGTTCGGTTCATTTAGTGCTTATCGAGCTTTAAACAAACAAGCCTTAACGAGCTCTGTTCGCGAACATATTTAACATTTTTTTTTAAATTATCAAACAAGTATGTTCATGAATAAATCTAACAAGTATTCTTGAGTTATCAAATGAGCAAGATCTAATGATGTAATTAAATAAATTAGAAATTATAAGAAAATGAAAACTACAATGTCATATATTATAATGCTTAATTACTTTAAAATTTATTAATTAAAAATATTTATATCATTATATTATAATAAAGTAAAATATTTATATTATGTATATTTATCAATTTTATAATTAAACATTAATCGAGTTTTATCGGGCTTATTCATGAGTTCTGAATCAAACACGAATCGAGTTTAATGTCGAGCATGTTCACGAGTTTCAAATGATGTTGTTCGTGAACATAAATGAACTGAACACATTAGTGTTCAAGCTTGTTTATTTAAGGATCAAGTATTAAAAATGTTGTTCAAGTTTGCTTGTTTAGTTAGTTAGACGATCACAAACGAGTTTTAATCGAACCGAGCAATAAGTAGCTCGTCGAACGTTTGGTTCGCTTTGCCTTCCTAAAGATAAATGTTGGCTCACATTAATGTTCTTCTTCACTTATCAGAGAACTACCAAGGCTTCGTTTGGGACGGCTTTTTATTGCTTCTTAAAATAAAGTTTTAGTACAAAACTTATGCCTTGTTTGGTTCAGTTTCTTCTTACGGTAAAAGGAGTTTTAGAAAACGATGTTAAGAAAAAGAGGTTTAATAAAATGGAGTTTCAAGAAAGATATGCTGTTTGAGTAATATTTTTTTAGTGCTTATTAATACTTGAAAACATATTTAAATTGTTTGTTTAGGAGTTCAGTTTTAGCAATTTTATTATAAAAGCCTAAATTACACATACTTAAATTTAAGTATACGTAATTAAATTTTTTATTTTACTAGGTTAAGTTTACATAAATATATTTATGCTAGAAAATCAATTTATGTTGTCAGCAAGAAAAAGCATTTTCGTAATTCCATTTTATTATATAAGACACACATATTTCCTCAAATAAACTACAAACACAATCGCAAAATGTGACAATTCACATTAATCCAGATGTCTAAATATGATATATGGATAGCAGATTTGGGTTTTCTTTGGAGTGGGCGAAGTGAACTAAACGACCCTATATTTCTGAGAAAGACAACGAAGAGCTAATAAAACATGCTTTGAGGTGCGTGGTGGCTGGGTGTTAGTTTGGAAATTGTTTCCAAAACTTTGTTCTGTGACGGAAAAGAAGATACAAAACAAATTTCGTAACCACAAAAAAAACAACATTTACTGAAAAGTAATTACGATTAAGTTTTGATTCCAAACAAATAACACTAACTGATTTTGACGTATTCAAATAGAGAATGGAGGAAATATGCCTAATCAAATGAGGCATTAAATTTTTGTACTAAAACTCCGTTTTCAGAAGCAATAAAAAAAGCAGTCACAAATGAAGCCCAAGTCTAAATGCTGATAATATTTATATATCTATTGATAGTGTATCATACTCCATCATTATAGGTTTGATATTATTACGCTGTTTTTAAAAAGAACATCTTGATCACAAATATATGGGTTACTAGAGATAATCTAAAATTAAATGGCACCACTTCACATAACAACTCATTAATATACAAATAGACATTTCAAAATGAATGCATCATTATTTATCAATTCTTATCTTCAATAAAAAAAATTGCTTTAAAAAATAGTAAGAAAACTATCTCAAACAAAGCTCAAACAGAAAACAAAGAAATTGTGATGAGGAAAAGCAACCCTTAAACATGCCTAAGGCTCTACTAAGAGCATAGACAAAAACCAAAGAGAAGTAATCTAATTAAGATTTATAAAAATTTTTAAGAACAAATGTAATTAATTTTACATAGTTTATGTAATAATATATTAATCCACTCATAGGCAACAACTCAACTATACCGATTAACTTGAATACGCGTTATACTTTATTTTTTAAAAATAATAAAAAATTATATTTTTCATTTTTTCATTGTGATATTTTGATTGCTTTGTATTAATTATTATTATTTCATAAATTTTATTTACATAAATCCCATACGAGTTAATCACCTTAAATCTTTAATTATATTATCAAATAATTTCATATGATTTATTTGAATTTAACATTTTAAAAATATTTTTTAAATTTAACATCCTAAAAAAATAAATAAAATCATTTAGCTAAATCCAACCTAAATACTAGAAAACAAGAGTATTTTTTATCCGCTCTCTCTATCTACACTTCTTCCCCGACTCCGAGAGCGTGAGGGCAACACCGCAACAGACCTTTGAACCGGCCCATGCGATCTCATGGATTACGGGATTCACAATAGCCACCATCTCGACGCTGCGCCTCAAACGCTGGTGCAGCCACATCCCCAGCCCCAGCCCCCGCCGCCGCAGGCTGCGGCTGCGCATCTATACTCGGCATACTATTCCACCGCAAATCCCAATCCTTACCCTAATCCGATTGTCAGACACGAAGATGCATCTTCATCCTCCCTTGTCTTCGCCGACGGCGGCGTAGCCCAGGCTGCAGAGCACTATGCTGTGGAAAGGGGATTGGACGGTCAGGCTATGACATATGGCGCTTATCAGCCACATCAGCACACCGATCCGTACGCTTATGCGCAGGCCTTAGCAGCGGCGTCATTGCAGCAAGCTGTAAGCATTTCCCCTTAATTTGGTCAAAATATAACTGGAGTATTGTTTTGGGTAAATGGCGGTTCTCTTTGTTTTTGGTTTATTTAGGTATCTTCTTCTCCATCGATATTGTTATTTTTTGTGCTAAAGAATATGGTTTAGGTTCCATTGATATGAGTTGAGGCATCGGATAATAATTAATATCACAGCAAATAGTTATTCTATAAGCGTCATATTTTTCTGCGTAAGCTGGAAGTTGAGTGATTATTTGGATATTAATGATAATAACTTTATCCTAAGTTCAATCAGCTTTCATCAATAGCTTATCCTTCTTTCCCGTTAGCATGCGGGATGTCTCTTACACGAGACTTTTATAAGTTCAATCAGCCTTCTCTATCAAGATACAGCTTCAATATATTCACAAAGATTTAAGCTCATTTATATTTATATATAGGTAAATCCTATATAATCCTTGGACAAAAATTTAGCAAATCTCACATTTAAACTGTAGATTAGTTTGGTTGATTGCAGTCCAGTTGTAGATTAGTCTGGTTAATTGCAAACGGGCTTAGAAATAAAGTTTTTAAAATTTTGTTGTACTCAAACAAATCTTTAAAAAAAAAACATTAATCTCAAAACAAACTCTTGTGGATCTCAGTATGCATTTTTTGAGCAACGCAAGCCATATTATATATTGGTTGGGTTGAGCCAAGCCTTTGTCTTCCTCATGAGTGCCCCTACATCCATGGGTTTTATTTTGTCGATTGTAAGGGTTCGACAGTGTAGCCTAGGGCTGCAAGCGAACCAAGCGTTCAATGAGCTACTCGTTGTTTGGTTCGATTAAGGCTCTTTTGTGATCATTTAATTAACTAAACAAACAAACTTGAACAATAATTTAAATACTCGATTATTAAATAAACAAACTTGAACACTAATGCATTCGACTCATTTATGTTCGCGAACAACATTGTTTAAAGATCGTGAACAAGCTCGACATTAAGCTCGATAAAAGCCCGATTAGTGTTCGATTTTGAACTCGTGAATAAGCTCGATAAAAGTAATTAATATTTGAATAAAGAATATACAACAGGTAAGCTTCATTTAAAAATATATTCATATTGATTAATGTTATTTTCATTTTACATAGATAATTGCTTTTATTATAAATGTGTTTGTTCATAGATATGTTCATGAGCGTGTTTGATAGTTTAAAAAAATTCGTTAAATATGTTCGCGAAGATGTTTGATGTAATCGTTTATTAGGAAGTTCGATAAAGCTCGTTTGTTAAGTTAATGAACATCTAAAAGTAGAGCTCGTTTATAGCTCGCTCATGCTTGTTTGTTTAAAGCTCGATAACCACTAAACGAACCAAACATGAATCAAACATGAACACTCATTAATTTAAATGAACCAAACATGAACACAAATAATAAAGCTCGAACAAACATGAACCAAACTTGAACAAACTGATATTAAATGAACACAAACATGAACATGCACATACTCGGCTCGGCTCGGTTCATTTGCAGCCCTAGTCTGGCCCTATTGTTGCCAGCAGTCAAGCTCTTGACCCCTTAGAATTCAACTGCTAGTGAGGAGTGCATTGACAACCTTAATTGTTGGATAAGTACTCTCCTTTGCTTGTAAAAATTCAAAAGCCATTGGATCATTTTTGAATTTTTACCTCATTACGAGGCATCTTTTCTGGAATGCTCTTTTGGAAATGAGAAAGAATTACCTTTTTTTTTCCTTTAGGTGTGATGGTGTCCATTTTTTTTGGATGTGAGTGTGGAAGGACCACCACCTTTCGGATTAAACTCACTCTTAACTTCTAGAGCACTTGTTTTTTGTGTCAATTTTTATTTGATAAATACAGCTTTCTTGTTCTTCTCGGGCATATCCAAGGAAATGCATTTAGATCTCTAAAAGTTTTTTCATATTTTTTCCCCTAAATAGCTGTAGCTATTGTGTTTTTCAAACTTGCTAATAATTGGTATCGTTTCTTTTTCGTTGTAGCGTCACCGTTTGTTCCAGTTCATTGTGCACACATTTCAAGGCTCTCCTCCTCTAGATAAATTATTGAAAATTACCATTGAGAAAGAGCAATGTGGAAAAAGTTGTTAGTCTGTTTCATCATCAGCCTTACACATTGTATAACATCCATGAATAACTTGTTAGTTGCTATCGTGATACACAAGCACTAGTACCCCCTAAGGTTAATTTTAACCTTTATTAAGGATATTATAGCCCCATAGAACTCATTCTAATGATGATTTGGACTTAATAAGATTATCAGTGTATAATGACATCAACTCACACATAAGTCGTCTTTTGAACTTGAACATGAAACTGACCCAATATTAGTTTAATTTTGAGTTTGAATCTTATAAGCCAAAATACATTATCTAAAAAGTCATTCCAGCCATTCTTCAAGGAAATGGATTACTTAGCATATGTCAAGCCACTCTTCAAGGAAATGGATTACTTAGCATATGTCAAGCCACAAAATTTGGTTTTAAATCTTTTTTATAGTTATGCCTGAAGGGGTAAGAAAGTAAATAAGCCAATAGGCTACAAATTGTGATGTGAGTCTTAATCAAAGCACATTTAACAAGAAAGACTTACCAAGCTAGACCATAAAAATTTCCTAACGAGTTTTTGATCTCATAAGCCAATACCTTTTTTGTTCTTATAAATTCATGCGCCTGAGCACAAGTCCAATTCAAAGAATGGCAGAAAGTGGTAGTTTGCGCCACCAACTTGATAGCTTTATAATTTCTCCAACTAGGTTGAATGAAGCACAAACCATGCACTTGGAGTTATACACTCCCTTCAGACAAACTTGATGAGGATATCACTCAGAAATTCCGACACGTGTACCGACGAAGAGATCGTAGATTGACGGTCACGATTTAGAGTCCTTACTTTTGATGCATTCTATTTTATTTTCAGTTTTTCCGAGTTTACCCCTGTGAGGAGTGTTTTCTTATTGTAGCCTTAAGGGCATTTATGTACTTTGCTTTTATTTATGTTGGAGGCCTATATATAGTGGCCTTATGCTTTGTAAAAGGATGATGAATATTTGAATGAAAATTTTATATTTGTCTTCTTCATCTTGTGTGTGCACTAGAGAGAAGAGAGAGAGCCTGAGGTAAGGGCGAGCACAATACCCACCAGTCATTGAAAGATTATGTGGCTCATGGTCTATCTCTTTCTTCCCTTTCTTCCTTCCTCCACCCGTCGACCCCTAGCTTCCTCCCAAGCCGCTGGCCACATACCTCTCTACCCAATCCATTGGCCACCTTCACGCCATCCTCAAATCCTTTGACGCTAAACCCTTACCCATCCCCACCGCTGGCCCACCCATTGAACTCTTCCATTATGATGGCTTTAATCATCATAACTCCCTTCCTAAATTAGCTCCAAGAGAAAAGGAAAGTAATTACCTCAATTTGAAATTCAAATTTAAAAAAAATTCCTTATTTGCAAATCTTAATTAGGAAAGTCCATAAATTCAAGTCTATTTGAAATTTAAATTAAATTGGATTTCATGATATCTTTCCTAATTCCCAGGTGTTGTTTTGGAAACTCATAAAACTCTCCCCACCACTCCCTCCCTCCTCTCAAAGCCGTCGGTCCCCCATTGGTGGCTTCCCCCATTAATTCCCATTAAAGCTCCCAATCCCACTTTAATTCTAATTCAAAATTCAAATTAAATCCCGCCAAATCCACTTTAAAAAAATATGTAATTAATTTCAGATTTTGATTAAATTTCTTCTCCTCTTTTCTAACCTAATCCAAACCCTCACCCAAACCGCTCCTCCCCCTTCTCCCCACTTTGGCCGCCCCCTGTCCTTTGCATCCCCTCTCTTGGGAAACCCTAGTTTGCTCATGAGACTTGAAGCCAAGAGAAGAAGGCGTCCTCCTCTCCCAACCCCATCGTCATTGGTGCATGGCCGATCCTGAGGTCGATCATGACCTCGCTTACAATCCCCTCGGGGAAATCGACATTCTCCGCTCCCCTTTCTACGAGCCCGATTGGGAGTACGACGAATCGGTGGAAAACTACGTCAATCGTATCCTCTACTGTTTAGCGGGGACGCTTGATCTTCAAAAACCCAAGACGCCTTGGCTCATCATCAGTCACCTGTTGCCTCCTCCACTGTCGGCTACCTCTCCTTCGACGAAGGTCTTCGGCGCCATCTTCCTAGTGGTAATCTCCTTCCTTATAGGGTTCGTCTTTTTCCGCTAAAGCCTAAGAGTGGAAGAGTGAGAAGGTGCTCAAGGTGAACTTCTCGTTATTAAGTGTTGGTTTTTGTTATGAGCATGTAACATTTACTATTGTTTTGGATTTTTGATTAAATTGTTTGGCTAATCTCAATAGCACTTCTTTGCCTAAGCAAGTTAAAAATTTTGATTTCTGAAATCTATCTTTATTGCAAGCAATAATTATATATTGGCACGTTTTGGTCAATTGATCGTTATAATTTCTCAAGTAACTCCATGTAGTTTCACATCAAAACTTCTTTTGTCTCTAGCACAAAATGATCTTAGGTAGTTTATCTTACGAGAGTTTGCCTAGAATTGTTTTGACATTAGGATAACCTATCAAACACCTTTTGAATTTGCTCATAGACTATTATTTCAATGATTTCTTGACTTTTTTTCATCTCCTCTGCATGCATTCATTAATCCTATACATGCATAGAAATCATAGTTGCTGACTATGCTAATGTAATTATTATGCATTAAAAAAATTGAAAGTCGTAATTATTTTTTATGGCTGTGCTTATATTTATATTGGCAGATATTGCATAGCAGTTTACACTATTTTTACACACTTTTTTGTGACCTATGACATGATAGAACCTACCAGAGTCTCAACCTTAGTATATTAGAATCTAGGCTTCGTACCTATATACGTGCTTTACATTTTGATTTTATTATCAATTCTAATTTCTATGTCAAGGATTTGGCATCTAATCAAATATTTTTTTTGCCTCCTTATGCCTCTTTGCAC